TGTATGGATTGTGATAAGAGTTGTATGAGCCCCGAATAAAACGATTAAAAAAAAGAGTCTGTTTTTCGGTTTTGGTTTCGTTGTCTCGTTATTGTAAGTCAGGCCTGGAGGAGGACTAGCACCGAGCAGGTGGGAGGGACTCAGGACAATTGTAGCAGGAAACGCAAAAAGGATGACAACCGTCAAGCTAACGGGCAGGGGTGCTGGTGGAACACTGGAAGGATGTGGGAAAGAACCAGCGAAAGGCATCGTGTAGAACCAGGGTCAGTCTAGTTCTGCGGGATTTAGACATGTTTCCTCCTAGCTCTGAATCTCAGTGCCCTGGGTGCCGGAGGGATCGTGGTAAAAACAGCACCACTAACAACAATAATAAATATTAACAACATCCACAGCAGTAATATTAATAATGGCTGGCTCCCAAGAAGCACGTGTAAGATATGCCAAGCACGACTGTCATGTAAATATCTTCCAGGTGTTAAAGAATCCCCATGTTCACCACGTAAGGAAAATCCTCGGACGAGTGGAGACCGTGTCACCTGCCTTGTGAACAGAACCCTTATTATGGTGACACGAGCCTCTCTATCTCCAGTTTTCTGCCTCACAGTGGACTTTGTCTGATTGACAACCTTGCACTTCACTCCTTCTTTCGCTTTGTGTTTTAAATGTTCCACCCTTTGCCATCTTTCTCTCTTCCACTTTCCATCCCTTTAAATTTGTACCCTAGTGTTTGTTTGGTAAGCTGTAGATTGCTTTTGGTGGCAGTGGGCCAATCTTTGTCTTTTAACCTGGGCATTGGATCTGTTGACATTTAGTCTAATCATGGGCATCTTTGAACTTCGCTTTGCTTGCTGTGTGTTTTTACTATAAGCTCCTTTTTTTTTTTAACCCTATGCTCTTCTTTCTTATCCATTTTTTTTCCTTACCTATTTTTGATTTGACTTTGGGTGAGCTTTGGTACGGTTCTTTATCTATTTAATTGTGGTATATAAATAAGTAAAATATAGATATATAATTTCTGCCATCTTATAGGTACAGTTCATTGACATGACTGTCTTTGATAAGGCTCTCATCATCGTATTATTTTACAGATGGAGAAACAGACACAGAGAAGTGCATTGCTTTATTCAAGGTCACGTTGAGGAAGGGCGTAACAGGCCAGGGACCTTGATCCCTGGAGCTTCCATTGCAGCCAGGGAGCCAGATACCACACACATAATGATCAGATAAGAATTGAACTGCAGGTGTGATTAATCCTCTGGAAGAAATAAACAAGGAAAAGCCGCAGAGAAGGGATTCTACCAGTGTGGAGTATGCAACAAGCAGGGTAAGCACAAGCTCACTTGTGCTTGTTTACAAATCCCTAGTGATAGTAAATCATTTCCCATGTTTTTTCACCGCATCAAAGATCTGCTTATAGGTCTGCCCTGTAGCTGTCTCTCTCCCCACCCCACGGCACCTGGCCTCTTTCAGAACTAAAATCCCTAACAAAGATATATTAAATGCTCCCTCCAGGTTACTAAATACGCATAAGCAAGCCGGGCTCATCCTCCTTATTGGGTAATTGCCCTTAAATATGAAGACAGAGGCATATGATTTGGTCTCGGCCTGTGAGGTCAGCTGCCCAGTAGGTCATCAGCCAGCACTCACTATGCAGGACTGTGTGTCTGGCCCTAGGCTGGGTCCTGGGCACTCGGTGGGCACTCAGGCCTGTCCAGGTCAGCCCTCATAGGATGTGACTTAGGAAAATGATCCCCTGTTGCATGCTGGGAGCAAATAAAGCCTGTGGTGGGGCCATGGTGGGGCAAGCGGGTGGGTGGGTGGGGCTCCTGTGAGTGGACAGAAGGGCCTCTCTGGGAAGCTAGCACACAAGGAGCTGAGATCTGAAAGAGGCGAAGCAGCGAGTTTGAAGGCTGCTGGGAACAGCATCCTTAGCAGAGGGAACAGCCAATGCAAAGACCCTAGGGCAAGAAGACGGTGGTGTGTTTGCTGGCGTGACACCGAGAAGGCTGGTGAAGGAGGAACAGAATGAGTGAGGAGAAGAGAGGGCCAGCAGTCAGAGGCCTGGCCAAAGAGAATCACCTAAAGCAGGGGTGGGGACCTTTTTGCTGCCAAAGGTCATTTGGATATTTATCACCTCTGTCTCAGGCCAGCCTGGTCAAACATTTCATTCACTCACGCTGGATGGAATGGCTGGACCGGCTTCTCTGTCGTGAGGCGTGTGCTGTTTGTTAGCTGCTAGTAATGGTTTCTCAGACCTCAGAGGGCCCACAGGGAGAAAGGTGAGGCTTTCTACTCCCGTAAAGAGTTAGCGCGTCGGAATCCCACAGGGGCAGTTCTGCCGTGCCTGGTAGGTCACTATGAGTCAGAATTGACTCCATGTCAGTGACTTTAGACGGCCCGAGGGCCGCACTTTCCCCACCTCTGCTTTATAGAGCACTGGGGAGCCACGGAGGGTGGGGGAACAGGAGAAGGCTATGGACTATTTTATGATTTTCTAAAGTATTTGTTTGCGGCTGTCATGGAGGGCAGGGGTTATTTGTCGGGGCAGATATAGAGGCAGCAGGGGGTTACGGCAGAGGTCTGGACTGTATTTGGAGTGGGCTGAGGAATTGGCAGGGCAGGGACCTTTGTGGATGGAGCAAAGTAGGCCCATTTGGGGTCCGTGCCTTCTCTCTCCTGACTCAGCACAGGGCAGGTGACGAGGAAGAGGCTCTAGGTCCCAGGGCCCAAGTCCCTGAAGACTGACTGTTACGGGGCACAAAGATTCTGGTAGGCCGCTTAAAGAGAAAGTTCATCTCCCACTCAGGAGAACACAGGTCTTCCCCATCCCCCACCCCCACCCAACACCCGCGCAATGTCCCCATCCCCACTGAAGCAGGCTGGCCACAGAGACTACGTTTTGTTAACTGCTGATCTGCCTCCTCCCTCTCCCATCTCAGAAAGTCCCGCCAGTGATTGATTTTTAGAATGTATTCTTAGGTTCCCAGGATCAAAACCGTTGTCATGAATACTATTATTCCTTTGGAGGTAACCAGGATATTACTAGTCTTATTTTATTAACCAGGATGTTATCATCAATCCTGTACCCTGCCATGCGCTTGCTAACTCTAAAAAATGTTGACATTCATTTTGCTTTCTACTTTTGTCAGACGCTTGCCGAAGGCCCTGATCAATGAGTTTTTGCCTTCATCAACTCGCTGAGATGTCCACTCGGGACTGCAATCAAAAGAATCGCTTTTAGATTCTAGCAGTCTGGTTATAACCAAATAAAGACTCTTCTAAATTATCAAGACTTTCTAGTGGCTGCCATTTATTTGAACCAGCAACGCCCACCACTGGGTCGCTGTTGGCACATTACACCTTCCCATCATCTCCCTTCGACCCCCAGAGGAAGATCACTTCTTCCCTGACTCCGTCGTGCATACAGCACCTTGCGGCTGGCCACACTGTGGTCCCCACCCTGGAAGGACCTTCGTCAGTATTTCTTGGCCTCCACCAGAGCCCAAGAAGTCCAATGAGATGCTGGCTTTCTCCAACCGGGTCCACTTGGCTGCAGCCTGCAGACGAGGCCAAGGTTCTGCTTTGCTCAGCAGATTACTCCCCCCCCCCCCCACACACTCACACACACAGCCAGGCTTGGCTTCCTGCTGTCAGCACTGGTACCTGCGGGGTTCACTCCACACCCCAGTTCTTACAATGATCCAGTCTAATGTGCTTTCCGACCCGCCTGCCTGTGCTCTTGGGGTTCCCTCTGCCTGGATTGATTGGCTGCCTCCGGAAAACTCCCAAGCCTACTTCAAAACACCATCCAGGTGCCTTCATCTCCTTCCTCACCCCCAGAATGAGTCCTTACGGTCCATTCTCCAGGCTCGTCCTGCCTTGAGGCCTGTCCACCTCCCCAAGGCCCATCCCAGACAAGCACTGATCCCCCACAGGGCAGGGGTCTCTGGAGGCCGGCATACAGGCCACACCCACAAGGAGCAGTGGAAGGGGGTGCAGGAGTGGGAGTGGGGGGTGGTTATTGAACAAATTTTAAAATGACTGAACTAAATCTATAAGAATCCTGGTTCATGCCGGGGGCTTAAGTGGAGAGGAAATGTTTTGAGAAAGATGAGGGCAATGAATGTACAAATGTGCTTTACACAATTGATGTGTGTATAGATTGTGATAAGAGTTGTATGAGCCCCTAATAAAATGATTTAAA